AACATATTGTATTCCTGTATGGGGTGGAGCCGCCAAAATAAAGTTCCTGGAAGTGGAAAGAACCCCAAGATCACCAGAACCAGAGCTCAAGGTTATGCGTTTCCTATACTATCCTATATATAATTCTTCTTCTTCTACTTCCTATATATAAATGAAATACCGTACAAAAGTAAATAATTCCAACGATTAAAAATTTCGGACGTAGTTGACGACGCTCTAGCACAAAATAGCAGCGCCTATAACGGCAACCAACGCACACTACGATAATATCGAAACGAGACGGAGCGCGCGAAATAAATTGACACAGGTCGACCTCGAAAGCCGCTGGCGCGGTAGTGAATTCAGATGGCCGACGCAGTGAAATATATGGTATTTTTATTTAATTAATTAAAAAATAACAGCAACGAAAAAGTATATATATATATATATATATATATATATATATATATATATATATATTTTTTTCGATTTTATTACGAGGAAACCTTGTAATTTTACTCCTTTAAATATCATCATCATCATTCATCATTACAGCCCTTCACAAGTCCACGGTTGAACATAGGCCTCCCCCAAGTACAGCCACAAAGCACGGTCCTGAGCCACCTGCATCCATCGACTTCCTGCATGTCTTACCAGGTTTTCACTCCATCTAATGGGGGGTCGCGCTACACTACGCCTACCGGTACGAGGCTGCCACTCGAGAACCTTTCTTCCCCATGGGTTATCGGTTCTTCAAGCTATATGGCCGGCCCATTGCCACTTCAGCTTACTAATCCGTTGGGCTATGTCGGTCACTCTGGTTTTAATGCGGATATGCTCATTTCTGAGTCTATCACGCAGAGAAACTCCGAGCACAGCCCTCTCCATAGCTCGCTGAGCGACCTTGAGCGTCCTCATACGGCCAGCAGTGAAGGACAAACGGAACCCAAGGGGCCTGCTGCTGGCCGCTTGTGTTCCGTTGCCCTATCCCACATTTCCCTACCTTCAGCTCACCGTTCTTTCTTGTGCCCAGTTTTGCGTTGAAGTCTTCCATTAACACTGTATAGTGAGTTTTGGAGGAATGCATGGCTCTAGAAATATCCTCATACATTTCCTCCACCTCCTCATCGGGATGTTCCGACGTTGGCGCGTAAACCTGTATGACCTTCAGCGAATACCGTTTGGTGATTCTGAGTATAAGGTACGCAACCCTCGTTGATACATTCCCAATGTTTAAAACTCTAAATATAAACAAGGAAAAAGAACGGACCCATAACACTTCCCTGGGGAAAACCACAACTCACAGTTCTGGATTCGGAATAATGTAGTTTCCATATTTGTTTTTTAATCTATGCTTTTTCTATTTACTAAGTAAGATTTTATTAGATTAAAATGTTTTCTCTCACTCCATATGAGTACAACTTATCTAAAAGTTTCGTGTCTTACACGGTCAAAAGGTCTTGTTAATCATAAAAAAACAACACAAACATTACAAGTCTTTAAAAAGAAAATAATACATCGCCGTCGTTTATTTTTTATAAACCCGTATTGTTCCTTTGTAAAAATATTATTTAGCCTAAAATACACATATAAAGCATTGTATAGAAAAAATATATCTCAAAGATTTTTGAAATAATGGGCAAAAGGGCTATAGGACGGTAGTATTTCATAATATCTCGGTTACCTTTATGGAATAGAGGTTTGATAATAGTAGTTTTTAATTTGTCCTGCTGGGTTTCTTGCTGGTTCTTCCCAGGACAGAGGTGTTATTTGCAAACCAGTGGTAAATGAAAAAAGTGACTTTCAATAAGTATTATTTTACAATCTATATTGAATAAAAAAGTTTCTGTTTCTGGCAGTAGAAACGCCGCTACTGATACACATGTTGATAATTAGGTTATGTAGATAGGTGGATAGGATCAAACTCGATATAAAGCTGTCAATACCTGCACATTTAGTATTTTAACGTAATAATAATTTTAAATATGTCATACGGAGTAGTAGGATTCATGAATATCAAATTATTTCAGTGAGATTAGTCAAGATATTTCCATTATTATTTATTTTTGAAATAAAATCATTCGGATAGTTAGCCTTTGCTTTCGCATTTTTTATAATATTTTAAGTCGCTTTAGATTTATTAGTGGATGATGCAATATAGTAACTATTTTGTGCTTTGTGTGTTAAATTGATAATTGTTTTGTATCTCTTAGCGTAAGTTTGAAATAAATTTTTATTTTAAATCGTGAGATGTTTTTTATATTTCCACAGTAACTCTGTCTTTCGCTTGCTGCACGTTTTAAGACCAAATGTAATCCATTTAGGCTTGTTTAAAGTGGACAGTATAGCTTTCATTACTGGAAAACACAAATCTCAGAAGAGTTTTAGTAAAGCGTGAAACTTATAAGCATCATTAGGCTCATTTGCTTCAATTATTTTCGGAACGATAAAGATTTTGTGGAATTTATAAATATAGTTCTATTTTCTAGGCAATACTGGTATTTTTAAGCAGTGCAGTATTGGTATGCAAAAAGGAGTTTCTCCCTTTTGCACACCTGTACTTCACAGCATAGGCTCCTTAGGACATTGTAGGATTTGAGTGATATGGTCTGAGAGAGAACTCTACTACTTTTCCTTTACAATTACAGAGATTATGAATTATATTATCTATACAACTCAAGGATCTCAGTCTTGATGGTTCAACAATCCTTATTTTTAATTTAAAACTGTATTATACTTTTAACCTCTCAACCCCCTAACGGTCTCATGAGACCGCGGCCATATTCCGTCAAATCCCTAGGCGGTCTCATGAGGTTGCACCCACCCACAGCACTTTAACCCATAAAAACTTATTTATAGAGACTACTCTTCTATGAAGAAGTTGGCATTATAAAATCAATATGAAATACTCTATCCTCCAGTGCAATAAAAAAAACTGTTATCGTATGATTTCTTATATTTACGCGAACACTACACATTGAAATAATACTAGTTTTTACGGAATTTATCGCGTGTATTTAACTTTTTAATTACCCGACGTTTCGAACGCTTTACAGCACTCATGGTCACGGGCAGGACTGAGATGTTCAATGTCCATATGTCATAGTTAACCGCCTATGTCATAGTTTAAAATGGATAATACCTACGTGCGCCAAATGACCAAAATTGTATGGGTTACCAAAAATACACGGTAGTCATGGATACGTCAGATTATAATGCTAAAATACAAGAACTTTTGTCGGATGTAAGTACTTATAAAAAAGGTTAAAAACGACCCAACAAATAGCACACTAAAAACAACTAGTGACCTCATAAAGAAACACTCCGAAAAATTAAATCTGGACGTAAAATGGATAATACCTACGTGCGCCAAATCACCAAAATTGTATGGGTTACCAAAAATACACAAGCCCAATGCTCCATTACGTCCCATAGTGAGCCAAATCGATTCACCAACTTACAGATTGGCTCAACACTTAGCGAAAATACTCTCACCGCTCAGGGGACGTACAAGAGCACACATAAAGGATTCCTACCATTTTGTCAGCGAGATTAAAGACCTACATCTGGCAGACAATGAAACTATGGTCAGTTTTGATGTGCAGTCATTGTTTACATGCTTACCTGTTGAAGACTGCATCTCCATTGTAACTAGAAGGCTGGAAGAAAACAACATGCCCGTAGAATATGCAGTATTACTCAGACACTGCCTTACATCTGGCTACCTATTGTGGAAGGAGGAGTTCTACAAGCAAGTAGATGGTGTGGCGATGGGCTCACCTGTATCTCCCATTGTCGCCGACATATTCATGGAAGACTTTGAGGAGAAAGCCCTGCTTAGTTCTCCCATAAATCCAAGGTTCTACAAGCGGTACGTAGACGACACTTTCACAATTCTACCTTTAGATAAAGTAACTGCATTTTTAGACCATCTTAACTCTATAAATTCTAAAATTCAGCTCACAATGGAGTTAGAGGCAAACAATTCCTTAGCTTTTCTAGATGTGTTAGTAATTCGGAATCCTGATAACACCTTGAGCCATACTGTGTATAGAAAAAAGACCCATACAGATAGATATTTAAACGGTGATTCTCACCACCATCCTTCACAGTTAGCTACCGTGGGTAAATCTTTGTTTCAGAGAGCACGAGGGATCTGTGACAGTAAACACCTGGCTGCAGAGCTCCACCATGTCAAGCAAGTTTTGCATGACAACAAGCTTCGAGTCCGGCGCCTACGTCACAGTGAACGAGTGAAGCCGGCCACAGTCGAGCGTGTACCTGCTGTACTGCCTTCTACTTCTTCCTTTCGAATACGTAGTATGCCGACAAAAAAGTCAAACGTCTTGTTATCCAACGGTAGAAGGGAGGGAGGAATTAAATTAAGGCGTGTAAAGAAAATTAAAAGGCATGTTGATTCTGAAACTATTGTGAGGTCTTAAAAATAAGGGATGGCATTTATTTTATCATAAATGAGTTAAATTAATTAGTATCTTTTTCACGTTCAAATGACTTTTGCATTTCGATTACTATAGTTTAGTAATCGAAATGCAAAATGCTAATTTTTACAGCAATATTCACTTTGTCATATTGTACTAAATGTAGTTTTAGTTTAAAATCAATGAATTATCATCAGCAAAAATACTTTATCGTGGTTATAGTCTACAAAGTAAAGTAAGTAAGGTAAGGCGTGAAGAATGTTAGGAGTACCGAAATAGGTCTATAATTAGCGGGGTCCACTGTACTAATTTTTATATTAATAAAAAGTACGTACTATATTTTATAAAAAATACGACTTTAGTGTGTTTGTTTTTCATTAAATCAAGAAATACATAAGATAACTAGTATTAAAAAAACATCTGTATTTGTTATAAACATTTTTTTATAGAATAATGGTGACAAACGAGCACACAGTCTACCTGATGGTAAGTAGAAGCTGTGGTTCTTATACTATAAAAGAAAAATCATTGTAAGTACTTTTTTTATTTATTTAATAACAACCTTTGATCTATGGTACGTACCTGCGTGAGGTCGTTGTAGAACTTGACACCCTCTTTGAGGTTAGCGGTGAGGTCCTGGTAAGCGTCGTACGCGGCGCACAGCCGGCCCAGCGCCGCCTCGCGCCCGCTCGCCTCCCCCCCGCTCCCCGCCCACAGCTGCGAGTGCGCGCGCTGCACAAACACACACACAAGTCAGTAGTACTACGCAATCGCGCACACACACACGCACACGCACACTCACACACTCTCTCACTCACTCACTCTCTCACTCTCTCACTCACTCACTCTCTCACTCACTCACACACACAATAAGAGCGCAATCAGCCGATCGTGAGTTCGCGCGCTGCACTTACATACACATACATACACACGTCAGTACGTAAGTATCACGCACTCGTGCACACACACAACGTACACGGGCGTAAACAATAATAATAAAACAAGTCAAAAAATATTATTAAAATTCAGGCAATTGCTATGTCCACTCGTGTTCTGCACACCCATGATACTATTGTAGAGTTTTGGGCGATGCAGCGCTGCACCTGTAAGTGGCACGCACCTGTATGTCCGCGACGAGCGCCTCCTGGCGCTGCAGCGTGTCGGCGACGCGGCGCTGTAGCGGCTGCAGCGCTGCGCCTAGAGCTGCGGCAGAGTGCGCCGGCTCGTCCAGCGCGCCGTCCGCCGCCAGTGCCTCGAGGAACTTTTCGCGAAGGTCCACCGTTACGTCCTTCAGCTCCGCCTCGATGGCGTCGCGCTCCGCCTTCATCGTCTCCACCTGCACCCGACATAAAATAAATTAAATTTTTTATAATGTCAAAATATTTTATCTTGAAAGGCAAAATTTTAAAACTTTGTACATTACAATTTAATTGTTTAGTTGAGTGTAAAAATAGCCCATATCGTCCCGTGAGTGTCGTAAAAAATGACAGAGGGAAATGGAAATAAAAGGGCATCAGCATTTTCCTGGTAGCTGGTACCCGCCAAGTGTGGCGACTATGGAAAATCCCTGTGTGAGGAAATCTGTAGGAGAGGCCCATGTTCAGCAGTGGAGTTCGATAGGCAGGAGTAGAACGAGGAAATAATGAATGATGATGATCATGAAATCGAAAACTTTAAATTTTTTAAACACTTTAATTAATTTATCAGTGGTACATATCAAGAAAGAGAAAAACAAAAACGGAATAATGCTGTTGCGTTATGAGTCATAACTTATGACAGAGCAAATGATTGAGTGACTGATCGTGTCCATGAGTCTACGCAGATCAGCGTGAGCGCGCTATGTGCGTGTGACTGACCGTGTCCATCAGTTCATGTGCATATCACTGAATGTGTGTGCGTGGCGGGGTGACTGACCTTGTCCATGAGCGCGCGCAGCTCGGCGCGGGCGGCGGCGTCACCGGTGGGCGCAGCGTCGGGCGCGGCGGGCACGCCGGCCTGCAGCTCGCCCTCGCTGCTACTCAGCAGCGCGATGTTCTGTAACGCGCCACGCCTCATATCAGCTACTTTATAGCTCCAGAGTGAGTCGGCTTGACCGGGGTACTACCACGTTCGCACAGAGTACCAACTTAATTATAACCATAAAGACCCTTTTTAATGGAAACGAAGTATTCCATCTGGGCTATTTCTTATTAATCCTCAGAAGTGACAACGCATCCGCTTTTTGATTCTTAATTGAGAATAAACATAGATATGTGCTACAGCTTTCACTTAGCATCGGGTGGACTGTATGCTCGTTTGTCACCATTAAGATATAAAAATACTCCATTTTAAAAGTGAGAATTTCTTTAAATGAACACTTTTTTTCTATAGATAAACAACTTAATTGGAAGCGGCGGCGGGAATCTTTTTATTGATTATTATAACTTCTTAGAACTTCTTCAGATTTTTTCACTTACTTTAACAATAAGATATATTTTATTGTTTATTTATCACTAATTTTATACATTTATCGTTTAAAATGTTTTCTCTCGTTTATTTATGTGTCATTACTGTTTTTACGAAACTATGATGGATGCAACAATTTTTTTCATGTTTACCTCTTGTAGATATTCCTCCGTAGAACTTTGATATTGTTTTCTAACTTTGATATTGCTTTAAAGAAAGGAAAAACGTTGTACGCCATTTGTTTCGCTTGCCTGCTAATTTTCCGAGGGCTATTCATCATGACATTGATCGTGGCACTTTAATCTCGTGTGCAATTTGTTCTAAGCATCCGGACGGATATTCAACTGTTCACTGCGAGATCCACGAGTAACTGCCAAACTAAGAAAGGTGCGTATTTACGCGACCAGGTTTTTATATTAGGTATATTACGCTGGGCAAGTATAAAGACCAAAAGCAGACCCAAAATACTTGCAAGACTTCAAAGTATTTGAATATTCTCGCTCTGTCGACACTCGACGCGATTCCGCTCTTTTTTATATTCTGTTACCGATCAATGTTCCATCAAGGTATATTTGCTTTAAGGTATTTTTTTTGTAAACGTGATTCTGCTTCTTATCTGTAATTAATTACGGATTAATATTCTATGCAAGTATTTTTCTTTCAACAAGGCTTGGAAGTTTACTATTTTAGCATATGCGATTGCAATCCCTATTTATATGATCTTACGGATCAATTTTCGATGCAGAAAGAAAATACTTTAAAGTATCTCGAGCCCTCGTTTTTGGCGCTGGTATTTGTAGGTGGACGTACTCGGAAGCCCTGGTACTCGATTTTGCAAGTATGACTCACGTCTATGCCAAACATGAAAAATATTCCCTCTCGCCTCTACTCCTGCAAACTTTTTACCCGCGAACGATCCGCCAATTAAATGGTTTATCTATAAGCCGTGTGTTATAGAAGCATACAAATTTAACTGAATAAAAAAAATTGAAGCTCGATCATTTAGAACCTAAAATTAGTTAAATAAAACACAATCGCGTCAACCGCATGCATTGTACAGCAAATTCAGTGGAGTGCGCTGGTACAAGAGCGCGCTGTTTCCTGCTCCGCAAGGCTCACGCCGTTGCTCTGAACAAGTACATTAGTTTCCCAACTGTTAGACTCTCTTTAAATTGTGTTTTACACAGACGGTTGTAAGATAGCATTGGTCAAAAACAATATATTTAGTATGCAAATAAAAGTGTAAAATAGGGTTCCAAGTAATATGAGAGCGGTCTCGTCGTCGCAATTAAAAGTTAACTAGATACGGGTACAACAATCATTAATTCGCCTGCCAAGCGTTACGAATAAGGTAAATTCTCCCTAAATTTGCGGAGACAATGAAAATGAAAAATACAATATCACAAAATTGGTGCAAATTCAAAAATTTAAAGTAATGTTGTCGTTAAAAAGACAAAAAGCGTGCATTAGTATTGCAGGATACGTACATCCTTGTGCTGCTGGAACTTCTGCTGCACGATGGAGTCTGCGCGCACGGCATTGTCGATGATGTCCGTGTACTTGGCGGCGTTGGCGCGGAATGACTCCGTGAGCGCGCCCGACTCGCTGCGGCTCCAGCGTGCGCCGAACTGCGCGCGCAGCGACCGGTCCGAGTCGCGCTCCTCGCGCAGCATCCGCTCCGTCTGCCATCACATTCAAATTATACGGTTGTGGGTCATGAGCATGAGACAAGCAAGAATACAATAATTTAATCAGCTCGAATGATACGAGTAAACTTTAAATTTATTAAACAACAAAAATTAATGAATAAAAACAAGCAAATTAATGTTATAAAAATTAATGTAAACTTTGAACATAAAACAACAAAACTTCAAAATAGAAGATAAGAATTACAAAAGTTCTCATAGTGTTGTTGTGTGTAGCATGTGACAAACTCGGACTAACAAAGAAAGATGACAGAACTTTTCGCATATTTAAAGAGACATGGAGCACATCGGAACTAAGTTAAAACTATGTTCAGCACATATGTGTCCGTAGACATTTGCGGGTTGTTAAAAGAACAAAGAAGAAGCGTGAGCGTGTGTCGAAAAATTGTACCGTCATTTGAAACATATGTAGCACTTCATCTAATTTTCTTTGTAGGTGTAAGGTGGCAAAGGTAACGTATTGCGGTGATGCAATATGATGCGGTGGCATGTAGTGCGCTTTAGAACAGGAAACTGCTATGCGGTGCAGAGTACATAGTACTGTACAGTGTAGCGTAGTGTGGTGCGATGCAGAGTAATGTAGTTGTGTGCGGTACAGAGTAGTGCAATGTGGCGCGTGCATGGTGCACCTCGTCGAGGATATCCTTGTTGCGCTGCAGCAGCTCGGGCAGCTCGGCCATGAGTGCCTGAAGCGCCGGCAGGCCACCGGCCGCGCGCACGGCCGCCGCCTTCTCGCGGATGGACTCCGGCAGCGCGCCGTCCGTACCACTTGCGCTCTCCAGACAGGCCGGCAGGTTCAGCGACGCCAGGATGCTGCACAGCGCAACCACTTGCTATAACGCTTCTATGCACTGGTGGGACTGTTAGAAACTGTAAGTATTCAAATTTTTGACAGGGCCCTTTTGTATAACCACTGCGTGTAGACCTCATGTAAAATACGTCGATACACTAGGGGGTTGGGGGGGCACGACACAACTGCGAGACATTTAGTCTATGGTAATTATGAAAAATTCTTCCTACATTAAGAAAGGTCCATGCTCAGACGTGAACTGTAAAAGGCTGATGAGAAAAAAGTATGGCAATTGCAAGTTCTCATTTTAAAAATAGTAAGCAAGTGTACAGGAGTAAGGTACTATCCTATAAATCATACTGTTGAGCATGAACAACACATTGCCTACACGAAATTCTGTTCATGAGACAAAAATAATTTTGGTGTTTGTCACCAATATTATCCAATCCAATGTATATTATCAGTGTTTATAATCCGTTATTTTATTATTTATGTTGTAGTCTTATGACTTTTGACAGTGATTGGCACAACGTCAAGTTAACTACAATGATATGCTCAGTTTTTTATTTATTTTAGAATTGATTCTGAATACATTTCATATTATTTTTAACACTATTTGTAATATATCCAAATGAATCAAGCCTGAACCGTGCAGTAGCGCTGCATCCACTAGCCCATATTGCCTCTCGGGCGCAGCAGGAGGCGGCACAGGGGACTGAAACGAGATATGGGCAGCAGCACCACCTTGAAAACAGCTCAAAATAACGAAAAAACTTGCGAAAAAACTGGCAGTTGTGGCATAATCTCTTCTTAGTTCAATTTTAATAGAACTAAGAAGAGATTATGCCACAACTGCCAGTTATAATATAAATATCTCCACAGGAAAATTCCCTGCCAGCTGTGCCACTGATATATAATGACGAAACCTGTTGAGAAGCTGTGTGCCCTCGCGCAGCTTGTTGATCTCTGCGGTGACCATCTCCGAGCGGCGCGCAGCACTCGCCTGCAGCGCCTGGTGCACCGCCATGGGCACCAGCTTCGCGAACAGATCTGCACATGTACAGTACACACACATAACAATTAAGACAATCAGGCTTTACTTTAATAAAATATTAAGGAAATATTGAATGTGTTAAAATTAACAAAGATATTATAATAAGATAGATGTAATATAGTAAATTAATAATACACATTCAAGGTTCAAGCCAATAGTTCATAGACATTCCCAACCAATTTCAAACCAAGAAGGCCACAAATTCCTTGTCATTTTGTTGGACGAATATTGAAAAACTTCACTGATATATGGAGCATCTGCGTTTGTGCCATTTTGGCTCGTGTAGTATACATAGACTACTCTGTACGTGTGTGTATGTGTACCTGTGTGCGACTGTGCCCAGCGTTGCTGCGGCGGCAGCGGCTTGGCGTCGGGCGCGCGCCGCACGGCGGCTCGTATAGTATACATAGACTACTCTGTACGTGTGTGTATGTGTACCTGTGTGCGACTGTGCCCAGCGCTGCTGCGGCGGCAGCGGCTTGGCGACGGGCGCGCGCTGCACGGGCTCGTATAGTATACATAGACTACTCTGTACGTGTGTGTATGTGTACCTGTGTGCGACTGTGCCCAGCGCTGCTGCGGCGGCAGCGGCTTGGCGACGGGCGCGCGCTGCACGGGCTCGTATAGTATACATAGACTACTCTGTACGTGTGTGGATGTGTACCTGTGTGCGACTGTGCCCAGCGCTGCTGCGGCGGCAGCGGCTTGGCGACGGGCGCGCGCTGCACGGGCTCGTATAGTATACATAGACTACTCTGTACGTGCGTGTATGTGTACCTGTGTGCGACTGTGCCCAGCGCTGCTGCGGCGGCAGCGGCTTGGCGACGGGCGCGCGCTGCACGGGCTCGTATAGTATACATAGACTACTCTGTACGTGTGTGTATGTGTACCTGTGTGCGACTGTGCCCAGCGCTGCTGCGGCGGCAGCGGCTTGGCGACGGGCGCGCGCTGCACGGGCTCGTATAGTATACATAGACTACTCTGTACGTGTGTGTATGTGTACCTGTGTGCGACTGTGCCCAGCGCTGCTGCGGCGGCAGCGGCTTGGCGACGGGCGCGCGCTGCACGGGCTCGTATAGTATACATAGACTACTCTGTACGTATGTGTATGTGTACCTGTGTGCGACTGTGCCCAGCGCTGCTGCGGCGGCAGCGGCTTGGCGACGGGCCCGCGCTGCACGGGCTCGTATAGTATACATAGACTACTCTGTACGTGTGTGTATGTGTACCTGTGTGCGACTGTGCCCAGCGCTGCTGCGGCGGCAGCGGCTTGGCGACGGGCGCGCGCTGCACGGGCTCGTATAGTATACATAGACTACTCTGTACGTGTGTGTATGTGTACCTGTGTGCGACTGTGCCCAGCGCTGCTGCGGCGGCAGCGGCTTGACGGGCGCGCGCTGCACGGGCTCGTATAGTATACATAGACTACTCTGTACGTGTGTGTATGTGTACCTGTGTGCGACTGTGCCCAGCGCTGCTGCGGCGGCAGCGGCTTGGCGACGGGCGCGCGCTGCACGGGCTCGTATAGTATACACAGACTACTCTGTACGTGTGTGTGTACCTGTGTGCGACTGTGCCCAGCGCTGCTGCGGCGGCAGCGGCTTGGCGACGGGCGCGCGCTGCACGGGCTCGTATAGTATACATAGATTACTCTGTACGTGCGTGTTGTGTACCTGTGTGCGACCGTGCCCAGCGCTGCCGCGGCGGCAGCGGCTTGGCGACGGGCGCGCGCTGCACGGGCTCGTATAGTATACATAGACTACTCTGTGTGTATGTGTACCTGTGTCGACTTGCCCAGCGCTGCTGCGGCGGCAGCGGCTTGGCGACGGGCGCCGCTGCACGGGCTCGTATAGTATACATAGACTACTCTGTACGTGTGTGTATGTGTACCTGTGTGCGACTGTGCCCAGCGCTGCTGCGGCGGCAGCGGCTTGGCGACGGGCGCGCGCTGCACGGGCTCGTATAGTATACATAGACTACTCTGTACGTGTGTGTATGTGTACCTGTGTGCGACTGTGCCCAGCGCTGCTGCGGCGGCAGCGGCTTGGCGACGGGCGCGCGCTGCACGGGCTCGTGTAGTATACATAGACTACTCTGTACGTGTGTGTATGTGTACCTGTGTGCGACTGTGCCCAGCGCTGCTGCGGCGGCAGCGGCTTGGCGACGGGCGCGCGCTGCACGGGCTCCAGCTGGCGCGGCTCGTGTAGTATACATAGACTACTCTGTACGTGTGTGTATGTGTACCTGTGTGCGACTGTGCCCAGCGCTGCTGCGGCGGCAGCGGCTTGGCGACGGGCGCGCGCTGCACGGGCTCCAGCTGGCGCGGCTCGGGCACGCGATCGTGGTAGATGAAGTCGTTGTCGCGGCGCGCGGCCGCCAGTTGGCGCGCCGCTCGAACACCAGTCTCCTGCAGCACCCCCCCGCCGCTTGCGCCCTTCAGCAGCTCCGCCGCTATCTGCAGACACCACGCGATACATCATCTACTCTTACTAGTTCTTGTATTGGCATTCACTATTTTTTTTTTGTCACCAAGACGGAGCCACTTGGGAAGTAAAATGGATACTAATTACTAATTAGAGAACCCAAGTTATACCAACCTGCTAAAATGTCGAGAATTAACCCAGCAGAAAGAATGAGAAGCCAATCAAATCCGAATATAGAGGAGACATCAAAAAACTAGAAATAGGCGGTAGTCGAAATAAAAACAGTAAAACAACGAATACCACCAAAACCAAATTAACATTCCCCAACCCGGCTGGTCCCCGTGGGGAATTAGACCACCCTACAAAAAACCAAACAAACATACACTAGAAAACAACAAGAAAAACAACAACATTAACAACAAAGAAAAATGTAATGACCCCTTTAAAGAAAGTATATAAATTGCAGCACTTAATGTTCTAATCCTAAAGTCGGACGAGAGTCTAACAGAACTAAATAAAGCATTAAATGATATCAAATTATATCAACATTCTGGGTCTGAGTGAAGTAAGACGAGCTGGAGAAAACATACAAGAATACGAGGACTTCCTTCTATATCACATAGGCGAAAAAGAAGGCCAAAATGGGGTAGGATTTATTCTCAAAAAGCACATGGAACAATATGTTGATGAGTTCATAGGAATTTCGGACCGTTTAGCAGTGCTAAATATAAAATTACCCAATTACGAAGATATGTGGTCTATTGTGCAAGTTTACTCTCCAACTGAACAAGCAGACAAAAAGACAATTGAAGAATTCTATGAGAATCTAAACAGTACTATAGAGAGACACACGCACAAAAACTTGATAGTGATGGGAGACTTCAACGGCCAGACAGGTGAAAGCTTGCCAGAAGAAAAACGTGTTCTCGGACCTTTTACATGTGGAACTCGACGAAGCAAAAATGGAAAAAGACTCATTAATATGTCTTTCGAAAACGTAAAAAGTAAAGGTTCAAGGAAATGGACATGGGTATCACCAGGAGGCAAATACAAAAATGAAATTAACTTTGTTCTCACCAACAAACCAATGTGTTTCACCGATTTAAATGTTGTGAACAAATTTAATTTCAACACGAACCATAGAATGGTCAGGGCAGATCTCACACTACGACATATAAAGACACAAAGACCCAGGAAGGAACTTTGTTGGTAAGTTGAGTATTCAAAACCTAAAAGAAGCTGCAAATAAACTGACCGAAAGATGTGCAGACTTTGAGAATGAAACCAAGAACCTAGATATTCAACAGAAATACGACTGGTTTGAGACTTCAATCAAACTAGGAAAAAGTACCTGCACTAATAAAGAAAAGAAGAAAAGCTGTTTATCAATAAAAACAAAAAATCTACTCGAAGCAAGGAAACAATTAATCAGTTCCAGAAACACAGAGAATCGTAGAAAACGCATATCAGAGCTGAGTAAAGATATAAAACAGAGTATGAGAAGGGATAGAAAACAAAACAGAAGAAAAAAAATAGAAGAGCAAATCATTAGAACAGGAGGAACAAAAAAAGCATATATAGAACTGTCAGAATCAAAAGATTGGGTTACAAATGTTAGAAATGAGAAAGGAATAGAACAAAATAGAAGATCAGACATAAAAGATATTGCTAAATCATACTATAAACAATTATATGGGAACACACAAGAAGAACATGGCAAATTAATAATACTAAACGATGACGAGGATGAGAGCATACCCTATATACTGCAACGAGAGGTAGAAGCAGCATTACAGTCCCAAAGTAAAGACAAAGCCCCAGGGCCAGATGGCATTGAAAATGAAATCCTATTAATGGCAAAAAATGTCCTGTTACCAGTTATCACGAAACTATTTAATTTTCGCAAACTAAATTATCCCGATACAATGGACGCAATCTAATATAGTATTCTTATATAAAAAGGGTGATAAACTTAATATAGGTAATTATCGCCCGATCAGCCTTATGTCCAACTTATACAAAATATTTGCGAAAATACTGCTAAGAAGACTGGAAAGAAAATTAGACAACATAACCAGACGAGCAAGCAGGTTTTCGTAGAGGGTACTCAGTATTGGACCATAACATGTTATGAGACAGATTATAGAAAAATCCCATGAATACAACCAATTATATTACATGGCATATATAGACTACAGCAAGGCTTTCGGCTCTTTATTTCACAATAAGATATGGCAGGCCCTAAAAGAACAAGGTATCGAAAGCAAGTACATAAGGATACTGAGAGAGACATACAAGAAAAGTACAGCATGCATACAGTTAGAAAAGAAAGGAGAACCATTTAGCATACAAAAAGGTGTGCGACAGGGCGACCCGCTATCCCCAAAACTTTTTTCTGCGGCCCTTGAAATAATATTTAGAAGACTAAATTGGGACGGATATGGAATCAGTATCGATGGAACTTGGTTAACACATTTAAGATTTGCAGACGACATCGTTCTCTTTGTAAAAACCCCACATGAACTGAATGTCATGGCAAATGACCTGGCATTAGAAAGTCACACGGTGGGATTGAAAATTAACATGGAGAAAACGAAAGTAATGACCAACGAACCTAAGAATGAAAACATCAAAGTTGGCCAAATTGAGATAGAATATGTTGATGAATACATCTATCTGGGCCAAATGATCTCACCCACAGACAACATGGAAAAAGAAATCAACAGGAGAGTAGCAAATGGATGGAAAAGATATTGGAGCATGAAGGAAGTAGTGAAAGATAAAGAACTGCACTGCATTAAATCTAAAGTGTTCAACACATGCATTCTTCCTGTATTGATGTACGGATGTCAAACATTGGCTCCTACTAAGTTAAACAGTAAGAAATTAAACATATGCCAGCATACGATGGAGCGAAACATGATGGGAATCATGAAAAAGGATCGAGTCAGATTAGAAGACATTAGGAATAACACAAAGGTTCGGGACATAGCAACAAAAGTCAGGAAATTAAAGTGGAAATGGGCTGGGCATATGAGTAGAGGGAAGGAAAAGTGGAGCAGGAAGGTCACAGAATGGTACCTCAGGAATGGCATATGAAAGAGGGGGAGACCCCGCCAAAGATGGGAGGACGACCTGGTCAAATTCGCGGGTGTGACTTGGAGCCGGGTTGCCAAGGATAGAAACGAGTGGAAAAGGTTGGAGGAGGCCTTTGCCGGTTGGCAATCAGCAGAAGACAATCTAGATTTTATATGACTTAGATATTAAGAAATTGTATTACGTACTGTTGAATAAATGGCTTTATTATTATTATTAATTACTAATTAAATAGGTACTAATATATCAAAAACAAAAACAAAATAACCTTATAATTTCCCGATAATTTAACTTCATTAAATCTGTCAAGTATTTCACCTCATTCCAAAGTGACACCGCCCTGGCGGCAGAAAAAGTTGTGGATGCCCTTAATAATTTCTTAAATTTACGCGAACACTACACATTGAATAAAATTATCATTTACGGATTTTATCGCATTTAATTACTACTTTAATTTATTTTTATTATCACGACGTTTCAGGTGCTTTACAACATCCTTGGTCACGGGGGGAAAAAGATGTTTGACGTCCCAATGTCATAGTTAGTCCGGCTACCTTCAGTTTTTTTAATATTAATTTTCGGTTCCGATCTATGCAGAACAAGCTTACATTATCTTGAAGTCTTGCAGCTGTATGCTTGGGTTTGGGTTTAATTTTGTTAATTATAGGATCCCAAGCAGATGGCAGCACCCATCAATCTTCTCTGTTGAAATTAGGATGTTTTGTAATTTCAATAGCCTCGCGTATCATCCTTGGTAGAAATCGGTATTCTTTTGCGAGTATTTGTGGTATATCAAATCTAATGTAATCGAGGGGACAATCTTGAACATGTTCGCAGACTGCAGATTTTCCGGAGCGTCGGTGCTTCACGTCAGCTATATGTTACTTCACGCGGGTTTTTATAGATATTTTTGTTTGCAAGCTAGATTGTGAATGTGGTCAATCTTACATAGGTTTTTTATTATTTTGAGTTGTAATCAGGAATGCTATTGCCCATCTTTTGTTTAATTTCCCTCTATCACCTCTTACGACCCCACGGGACGGTATGGGGTAGCAGTAAAAATTAATTGTAATTTTATATTGTTATAATGTACATTCGATTTTAAACGCGTACCTGTAGGCGTGCAATCTCCTCTCCGACGGCCTTATTTTCGCGGCACACAAGACTCTGGTAATATTGTGTGAGACCTCTGAACGCAGACAGCTTGGCTTGCACCTGTAATGTAATAATAACATTGATTACCGCAACATTACAGCTTATTGCATAGTTTTGTGAATATTATAACACAAATGATAATAGTCATCATCATCATCATCACTAAAGCCTACCAACTGTATACAGCTGTATACAGGCTGAACATAGGCCACCCCATAGAGTACTACAAAGGCCCACGTCCACTGTTCTCGCCGAGCCGAGTCTAATCGAATCGAAAAAAGTCGCCTCCTATATATTTACTATAAAACTGCGTCCATTGGCAACGAGCCGCGGTGCGCCGCATTGAATCGACCGCGCAAATTGCTTGACAGGCGAATTTGTTCGCCGATGTGATTCGATTCAACTCGGCGCGCCTCAGTCGACACGGAGAAATGGATGCGCGCCAACGTATTTATATTAATTTCCTCAACACTGCATCTTTTAGTACCTTTACCAGTCCAAATAAGTCTAGCAAAACTTGAAATTTTTTATATGATAAATGAAAGTATTGAAAAAATTTAACAGGATCCTTATCAAATCTGGATATAAATGATGAAATTCGCCATAGTTATTCCTTTTCATATAAATGTCGCGTATCCAGTATTTGGGAGCACGCCGTTTCCTTCTTCTTTTCTCCTCTTCATCAAAAAGTATTTGAAATAAAAACATCTCTTCATCCGAGCCGTCCACGAGGCAAAAACGACATAATTTGATGAAGAGTTTGCGATGAATGAACAATTCGAAAGAGTCATTGCCAAGGCAAAGTCAGAGCACATAGGCAGAATTGGCGAGAAACTAGTTCGCCTTCCTTCTGGAACCCGTGCATTTTGGTCTCTCACCAGGCTGTCCAGGGGAATTTCTGTCAGCCATCTCTTCCATCTCTGCACAGGGAGGACGACTCACTGGCCCATACCGCAAAGGACAAAGCCGATCTTCTAGGCTCATTCTTTGCGTCTAAATCGACTCTCGATGACGGGGGGAGTACGCCGCCGACCATCCCGTGGTGTGAGTGCTCCATGCCGGAAGTGCAGTTCACACAGCGCTCGGTTCGCAAAGCACTCCTCTCCCTAGACATCCAGAAGTCGAGTGGGCCTGACGGAATCCCCCCAATTGTGCTGAGGACGTGTGCTCCAGAGTTGGCACCGGTTTTAACGCGTCTTTTCCGGTACTCCTACTCCCTAGGCGTAGTCCCAAAATCATGTAAGACGGCTTTCGTCCACCCGATCCCTAAAAAAGGCGACCGCTCAGACCCGTCCAACTACCGGCCTATCGCCATCACCTCCTTGTTCTCCAAAACAATCTGATCACCAGCTGATTAGTGATCGCCAATACGGTTTTCGTAGAGGTCGATCAGCTCGTGACCTTCTGGTCTACTTGACTCATAGATGGGCGGCTGCAGTAGAGTCCAACAGGGAGGCATTAGCCGTTAGTTTGAACATTGCGAAGGTCTCCGATCGGGTTTGGCACAAAACGCTTCTTTCGAAGCTTCCTTCCTATGGGCTTCCCGAGAAATTGTGCAATTGGATCACCAGCTTTCTTGCAGATCGGAGCATCAAGGTGGTTGTAGACTGTGCAAGCTTCGATTACAAGCCTATTAATGCTGGTGTTCCACAAGGCTGCGTGCGGTCACCAATGCTGTTTCTTCTGCATATCAATGATATGCTGCAAACCGGCAACATTCATTGCTATGCAGATGATAGCACTGGTGATGCTCTGTACACCGACCGTGCCAATATTTCTCCAGGAAACGTCTGCGAGTACCGGAACAAACTTGTGTCTGAAGTCGAGTCTTTGCTGAACAAAGCCTCAAAGGATTGGGGGCGACTAAATTTAGTCCAGTTTAACCCTGGGAAGACACAAGTTTGCGCAGAAGAGAAGAAGCGCGAAGAAAAAGAACCCCTTTGTCGTATCTCCTCAGTTTTAAGGCACTCCTCGTGTTGTCTCTGCTAGTATCGGAATCCTCGGCGTCGACATATAGAGTGACGTGCAGTTTCGTAGTCGCGGTCTATTGTGTATTATAGTATTCAACGGGCAACCCCATACATTGCCACATACAGAGGATTTTGCTACAATTAGTAGGCGGGTAGGCGACTGAGGCTTTTTATTACGAGGGTGGATTGAAAAGTACTCGGCCTAACCAAGAAAATAAACACATACTAAATCAGTTATATTTTTATTTATCTACATAGTCACCATCAAGTTCAATACACTTTTGCCACCTCCCCTTCCAAGCATTTAGACCGTTGAAAAAAAATGATTCTTCCTTAGAGTCAAAATATGCGTCTACAGCTGCTTTGACCTCGTCGTTTGTCGAAAATCTTTGACCTCCCAAGTGCTTTTTTAGGTTAGGGAACAGAAAGAAGTCCGATGGTGCCAGATCAGGTGAATACGGCGGATGCGGTAACAGTTCAAAGCCACAGTTGTGAATTTCAGCCATTGACTGTACTGACGTGTGAACACGGGCGTTATCTTGATGAAACAGGACTTTTCTTCTGAGCATTCCTCGACGTTTTTCTTTTATTTCCTCTCGTAAACGACGTAGTAAGGTGCAGTAGTAATCAGAGTTTATAGTCGGACCCCTTTCAAGATAATCAATCATAATCACACCTTTCGAGTCCCAGAATACTGAAGCCATCACCTTATTTGCCGACAAAATCGACTTAGCCTTTTTTGGGGGGTGGTGAACCAGGTCTTCTCCACTGTTTTAATTGTTGTTTTGTTTCCGGTGTACAGTAATGAACTCATGTTTCGTCCATAGTAACAAAACGATTCAAAAAATCATCTGCATCGGCTTCAAATAACTCCAAACAGTCGCGTGAAATAGTCAATCGCGTCCTTTTTTGTTCAACTGAAAGCAGTCGCGGAACCCACCTCGCAGACAACTTGTGGAAACCCAACTCGTTGACAATGATGTTTTGAGTTCGTTCATAAGAGATGCCTATAATCTCGGCTATCTCTCTAATTTTTAATCTGCGGTCTCCCATTATTAAATCAAGTACTTTTTTAATATTTTCGTCAGTAGTTGACGTCGAAGGCCTTCCAGAGCGGGGTTCATCTTTCACACTCTCTCTACCACGCTTAAATTCTGCTATCCATTTTTTGACGGATGAATATGACAGAGCACAATCGCCTAATGTACTGACCATGTCATCATGGATGGCTTTTGATGATAGCCCCTTCTTATGGAGGTACTTAATGACGGCACGCTGCTCGATTTGCTCCATTCGCGGAAATTATGTCCGATTACTTTGTTAATAAATTTATAAAATCACAACTAATTATCGCACACGTTTCGAACTTCACACAATGAACTAGTCTGAACTGAACTAAATAATGTGGGTAGATTTGATTTTTAGAATTGAATGGATCTGTGTTAGGCCGAGTACTTTTCAATCCACCTAGGTATTATTTTTATATATAAACGAGCATGTGGGTCATTTGATGTTAAGTGTCAACCGCCGCCAGTCCATACCAGGGGAATTATAGGTGCCTTGCCGGCCTTATAAAACAAGTAAGCTCACTTAAGCCGTATCTTATTAATTTTATTATTGTATTTGTATTATTGTATTATTGTATTATACTAGGAAGGTGTTTTAGTTTTCCATTGTAGCCTTTTATGACACCCACAGGATGATACGAGGTAGTGGATATTCTTACAATGTCACTGCACAGCATAAATAAAATAAATCATATATTACGAGTTGAAATCTTAAGTTAAATGGCCTAAGGTACATATTAAGTTTAGTAGCAAACAGAACCCATTAATTTTCTTTCGGTTTATAATTTGTAATTGGATCCCACCTGGTAGATATGAGGTAATAAAGAAATTTACAAACATACTATTTAAACACATATATATATATATTTGTAATCAAAATGTTGTACATTTGTAATCCCCTCTTAATTTGTTTTATTTTGATATCCTATTCGATACATTCCGTAAATATTTTTATTAACTTATTGTTATTTAAAAAAGCTATCACTTGGGTTATTAGGACGAATAAAACGATATCTTAACTGTCAAAATCCATCCAGCCGTTTGGATGATACGAAGTAATAAAGAAATTTACAAACATACAAGATTGCGCGAAAAACATAGCCTTTCCGTGGCAGTCGGGTAATAAAAATGGAAAACAGATTTTTTCCATGTTTTTACTAACTCACTTTCGTGTGTCTGTTCTGGTCGAATTAAGTAATTGATTTTAAACTAACTTCGCGGTTAGCTAGAGACTTGAAATTTTAAACATCGCTGTCAACTGACTGACAATGTAAAACATAGTATCCTAAAAAAAATTACCTGTTGTTCTATGGAAGAGGAGGCAAATTAGCATACGGCTCACCTGGTGAATATAGGGCTCTCCAGATGATATGCTACTCACCTAATAGGTAAACGCTTCACCTGATGAGTAAACGGTTCACCTAATAAATAATAAATAAAAGGTATCGGGGCTTACGGTAGGTATCCAGTCGCGGTCCCACAGTGTCTTGAGCTGCTCCTTCTGCATGGAGCGCAGCGCGTCCGTGTACAGCTCCTCACACTGCGCGCACACTTTCGCCACCGTGCTTTCTTTCATCTCATCTGAAACACATATACATTTAAACTAAGTGCCATCTTAAATAAGTTTGAAGTTGCTATGAAAATATTTTTATTTAAAACAAACTGTAACACACCCTTATTTCACCCCCTCGGGGGTTGAATTTTCCAAAATCCTTTCTTAGTGGGTGTCTTCATCGAGAAAGGAGTACATTTGCTGAATTACAAATCAATCAGGTGTAGTTTTGGAGATCTTGTGATGAGTGAGCCAGTCAGTGGTATTTCGCTTATATATTAGATTATATTATGTGGTAGAGCAACGCTGCAGCTATATTGCGGTTGTAGCACGAATGGGTCGGCTCGATCGGGGAAGGAAGGATTTTGAAGTGGATGCTCTGCTTCCGCGTTTCGTCTGGTGAGTGCAGGTGGCCGAAGGCCCAAATCCGGTAGCGGAATTAAATGATGATAGACTACCCCAGGAGGGTACCAGCACCCCTGGAGAATCCCTCGCTGAGCATCCATGACCATGTTTCTCCACTTCTGAGCGTGGGTTCTCAGGCCGCCCCGCGTATTCTGGGGGGGGGGGGGGGGTCAAAATTCCGCTCAAGACTACAACTGCTCGGGGTAAACGGAGCAACAAGACCAAGGCGACCCCTGCCACGCTGTCCGTGAATTTCTGCAATATCAGGGGACTTCACTCTAACCTAAACGCCGTCCACTACCATCTCGAGACAGCGAGGCCGGCTCTGCTCTTTCTGACCGCGACGCAGGTGTCCTCTCCGGCTGATGTCTCGTATCTCTCCTACCCGGGGTACAAACTGGAACACTCCTTTGTGCCTCGGGCTGGGGTTTGCGTTTACGTCAGAGAGGACATCTGTTCTCGACGCCTCGGCAGACTTGAAGTTTCGGACCTGTCCATCCTTTGGCTACGCTTAGACAGCGACGACCATCCGCGCGTCTACGGGTGCCTCTATAGGTTCCATAGCGGTAATGCCGAAACAGACCGACTCTTCGACCACGTCCAAATAGCTAAAGATTCGTATCCCTCCGCTGAGATCGTGATCCTCGGCGACTTTAACGCCCATCACGCCGAATGGCTTGGTTCACGTTTAACCGATCATGCAGGGAGATCTGTTCATGATTTTGCCTTGGCATATGGTCTGACACAACTGGTTACTTCGCCTACGCGGATTCCAGATGTGGAGGATCATGCACCTTCCCTGTTGGACCTTCTGTTGACCTCTCACCCGGACGGATATCAGATTTCCGTCGACGGCCCTTTAGGCTCCTCGGACCATTGTCTTGTCCGGAGTGTGGTGCCACTCACGCTGAAATCGCAGTTGCATTCTGCAGGCTGCCGTCGTGTTTGGCACTATAGGTCAGCCGATTGGGATGGGATGCGGTCTTTCTTTGCATCCTACCCTTGGGGACGAGTTTGCTTCTCGCCGGACGATTCCAACGTTGTTGCGGATTCTGTCGCTGTTGTGGTACTTCAGGGTACGGAACTTTTTATTGCTTCCTTTGTGGTGCCCATTGGAGGCAAATCTCAGCCATGGTTTGGTCGCTCCTGTAAAATAGCATTATGCTATAAGCAGGAGTGCTACCAAGCCTGGGCTGACGCATCAACGTCCCGGGATGTAAACACCAGCGCTCTAAAAATGAAGTATAATTCCGCCTCTAGGTCCTTCAAAAGAGTCATTGCCAAGGCAAAGTCAGAGCACATAGGCAGAATTGACGAGAAACTAGTTCACCTTCCTTCTGGAACCCGTGCATTCTGGTCTCTCGCCAAGGCTGTCCAGGGGAATTTCTGTCAGCCATCTCTTCCATCTCTGCACAGGGAGGACGACTCACTGGCCCATACCGCAAAGGAGAAACCCGATCTTCTAGGCTCTTTCTTTGCGTCCAACTCGACTCTCGATGACGGGGGGAGTACGCCGCCGACCATCCCGCGGTGTGAGTGCTCCATTTCGGAAGTGCAGTTCACACAGCGCTCGGTTCGCAAAGCACTCCTCTCCCTGGACATCAATAAGTCGAGTGGGCCTGACGGTATCCCTCCAATTGTGCTGAGGACGTGTGCTCCAGAGTTAGCACCGGTTTTAAAGCGTCTTTTCCGGTACTCCTACTCCCTAGGCGTAGTCCCAAAATCATGGAAGACGGCTTTCGTTCACGCGATCCCTAAAAAAGGTGACCGCTCAGACCCGACCAACTACCGGCCTATCGCCATCACCTCCTTGTTCTCCAAAACAATGGAGTCTATTGTAAACTACAGCTCATGAGGTACCTTGAGGATCACCAGCTGATTAGCGACCGCCAATACGGTTTTCGCCGTGGTCGGTCAGCTGGTGATCTTCTGGTCTACCTAACTCACAGATGGGCGGAGGCAATAGAGTCCAAGGGGGAGGCATTGGCCATTAGTTTGGACATTGCGAAGGCCTTCGATCGGGTTTGACACAAAGCGCTTCTTTCGAAGCTCCCTATCCCTCCTATGGGCTTCCCGAGAAATTGTGCGATTGGATCACCAGTTTTCTTGCAGATCGGAGCATCAAGGTCGTTGTAGACGGTGCAAGCTCCGATTGCAAGCCTATTAATGCTGGTGTTTCACAAGGCCATATCGTTCGTATCGCCAACGCTGTTTCTTCTGCATATCAATTATATGTTGCAAACCCGTAACATTCATTGCTATGCAGATGACAGCACTGGTGATGCTCTTTACACCGGCCGAACCAATATTTCTTGGGAAAACGTCTCCGAGTGCCCTGACAAACTTGTGTCTGAAGTCGAGTCTTTGCTGAACAGAATCTCGGATAAGGGGGCCACTAAATCTAGTCCAGTTTAACCCTCAGAAGACACAAGTTTGCGCGTTAACCGCTAAAAAGAACCCCTTTGTCGTATCTCCTCAGTTTCAAGGCACTCCTAGCCTCAGCCAGTAACGGAATCCTAGGCGTCGACATATCGAGTGACGTGCAGTTTCGTGGTCCCTTGGAAGAGAAGGTCAAATTAGCCTCTAAAAAGCTTGGCTTGCTCAGCAGAGCGGGACAGTATTTCATGCCGGCACACCGTTTGCAACTTTACAAGGCGCAGGTTCGGCCGCACATGGAATACTGTTCCCATCTCTGGGCTGGGGCTCCCCAGTACAAGCTCCTTCCACTTGACCGCATCCAGCGCAGAGCGGCTCGAATCGTCGACGACCGAGTGCTTTCCGATCGGCTCGATTCACTGGCACTGTGAAGAGATGTTGCATCTCTTTGCCTTTTTTCTTCTTTCATCTTTCTTTTCGTATATACCATGGAGAGTGCTCTGAGGAATTGTTCGGATTAATCCCAGCCGCCAAATTTCGTGAACGAACTACGCAGCAAACGTCCCGATACCATCAACAACATCTGGATGCATGGCGGTCCACCAATGTATGTTTCAAAAGGAGTTTTCTTCCGTGTCTAACCTCCCTGTGGAATAGTTTACCACCGGCGATTTTTCCGGACCGATACGACCTGGGGACCTTCAAGAAAAGAGCTTACTCCTTTCTAAAGGGCCGGCAACGCACCTGCAATTCCCCTGGTGTTGCGGTTGATCATGGGCGGCGGTAGTCACTTGCCGCATGGTCGTTTGTCCCTCTTCTATAAAAAGAGGACCATGCTCTCACAGAACACCAGCATAAAATAGCAGCTTAATGCTGCTGTGTTTTTGTATGGTGAGTGTAGAGATCCAGATATCCTTTTTTACCAGAAACGAGGCATTCCATCTTAGTCATTTAAAAATTCGTAACTCCGAAAATAAACTTTATTGGAAAAAGTAATTAGACCTTTTCTATTTGTATTTCATTTTTTGTATATTTAAAAAAAGTTGCCCAGTTTGAAAATAACAATTCCTTGCAGAATCAAAATCAGCATAGTTTATTTGTCAAACATAGGTATGTTTAAATGCTTAAGGTCTTGCGGGTGTTTACAATTATTAGTATGCTATGTTTTGTCTTAAAGACATTCATATTGCAATTGAAAAAAAATCGGTTTGAACAATATGGCAACGCGCTGCTCCATGGCAACATGTATTTATATCATCAGTGGGATAATTTGAAGACAATCGCATAAAAAACTGAGGTGTAATAGTTTTCGGTACTCATGCGCCCATTCCTCTTGGACTATATAAGTAAGTACCTCACAAAAAATTTATTAAAATAGATCAAGCAATTAAATAGAAAACGCTCATACACTCACCAGAATATTACACATAAAGATTATGTTGCCTTGGATATCATCACAGTAGTACTCACCTCGGATACACTTGTAGGCAATCACCTCTTGCGCCTGTGCAAGCATAAGTTGCGACAAAGCCTGCAGTGTTTCAGGATTCAGGTCTGGCGTGGGATCTTGGTGTACCGCCATTAGAATATTGGCTTTTAGATATGCGAAGATACCGGCTGCTTGCTGTAGCAATAAATACAAATATATGCAGATTTGAAAAATTTGATTCAGAAAACTCTTTTACATCTAATTTACCATCAATAGAATTAAATAGAATAGAATATAATATTTTAATTCAATATAGATTACAAGTAATTCTTATTGAAAGTAATTTTTTACTTTTACAAAACCGAAAGAACCAGCAAGAAACCCGGTGGGACTTTTTCAATTTTAATCACTATTAAACTAAGTTTAAAACACACAAATGCATTAAAAACATACAAATATTTAAAACATCATTTTCTTTTCATAAAAAGTAAAGGCAAAAATATCAATTACCATCATACTGTACAAATATTACCTTTATCCTTTTTCTTCACAAGCCAGTGTATTACATCCACTGCTGCTCTTGATTGACAACCACGCACGTCTCGCATCTTTATTGCTTAATACTCATAATCAGTCCGAGTATTTAAGTCTGATATTAACTAAAATTATTGTGGAATTTCTCTCGCCATTTACCAAAATGGCAGGTTTGTATGGGATATTGGATTCTCTTACGCCACCTAGTGGTCGTGGCTAACTTAATCTTGGCTATGGTATACACTATACATTCTTTATACTCTCTGTCATTACTCGTCACAGCCTAGAGGCATACAAAAAGGAAACATAGGTCTCCCCCATAGATTTTCTCCTAGGTTATGTTTGACACAGTTGTCACACTTGACGGAGGGGTTGGCAACAGATTTTTATTAATTTGAGTTGTTATCAAGAAGATGTCGCTGCTCATCTTCTGTTTCAGTTTCCCTCTGTCGGCTCTCACTAAGCAGACAATGGTGTGGGATAGTGGATGCTCGTAAGCCGTCCCTACACGGCTCTGTTAATCAGCACATAGCAATGTGCACGTGAGGTTGGCAATTGCTACAAAAGTTGGCACATTCTTCTTTATAAGGTTTAAGAAAGAATTTGTCAACTTAAAGGTACTATTTTAAAGTAAAACTTCAAAATAATACCTTTTATTATTCGTGTAATCACTATTCATGTTGCGATTTCTTATATTTACGCGAACACTACACATTGATTAAAACTACTTTTACGGATTTTATCACATTTATTTTACTTTTAATTACTTTTATTTTTAATTCTCGACGTTTCGGGCGCTTTCCAACACCCATGGTCATAAGGGACTGAGATGACTGACGTTCCGATGTCACTGTTAAACGCGGAATACCTTCAGCTTTTTTAATTATTGTTTATAGTCCGATCTATGCAAAATGAACTATGTCCTGAGGTCTTGCAGTGGTATGCTTGGTTTTAGTTTTAATTTTATTGATTATAAGATCCCAAGCAGGTGGTAGTTACCCAGCCTCCTTCTTTATTGAAATTAGGATGTTTTTTAATTTCAATAGCTTCACATATCATCCTGTACGAAATGTCGGGAATTAAAAATAAAAGTAATTAAAAGTAAAATTAAACGCGATAAAATCCGCAAAAGTAGTTTTAATCAACTATTCATGTTGAACGAGCATTTGAGAGAGCCAGCGCACTTGGCTAATGTAAATATTTTTAACTTCTATCATTCAACACTCCATAATGCCATCTATACGATATTGGACTATACTGGTTCATAGACAATAAATGGAACTATATGAGGATTTCAGATGGCATTAGTCCTACTCATGGTTTGGATGCTTTAGTGTCTACATCTATAAATCGTCATTTTTTAAAATACTTCTGATGCCTTGGTCGTTTGAGTGGTTATATTGATTTTTATTTTCTTTCTGAAATGTACTTTCAATATGAGAGTTGAAATTGAGTTGAGTATTTTTGAACGTGTTGATGTAAGTGGCACAATGGTACCTGCAACAATTTTGCAGCAAGCTTAAGGGAGTCTTCAGTGTCAAGTGCCTGCTGGGCGGCTAGGGAACTCTGCATGGCGGCCATGTTGAACAGGATACACATACGCTCATAGGCCAACGAGGCAACAGCTATAACAGAAAATGTGCTTTGTTAATCATGATAGAGTATGCCAAAGAATTTTTAATATTTCCACAACAATTTAGTTTATCTAGATTACAAAAATTATAATAAAGAACTTAACTAAAATAATAATTAAAATTATAATATTTACGATTAAAACTAATTATATACAATATAAAAGAAGAAACTATAATATAGAAAATCTAAAACTAAAAATTTTAATCGTCAAAAAGACCTGCTCCCCGTGGTATAGTGCCAAGAACGCTGGCTGCGTTTCCTCGCTGAATAGCTATACTTAGCCTTTGAGCGAGGAAAGAACCAGCCCTCTTATCACCAGCAGCGATGACCAGTCGTGGATACAGTTCCTTTAGAAACTTCATTGCACGTGGACCCCACGGACCGATAGTCTCTACAGCAAATGGCACAAACATGTAGTCATTTCTCAAAGACTCATATTTGCGCCATTTACTAAATTCGGCTGCCTCTGATGCCGCCCCGGCTCTAAAAGAGGTACCCTTGAGATGAGAGACCGCCAAAGTGTCAACGCAAGTAGCATCCCACGCTAGGGCTTTACCTCTCTCTCAAGGGACCAGTCATACCGTCGGGTCTCTTGCCATCGTCTCTAAATATCCCGCAAGGCTCTAAAACCGAGGGGATATTTATAGAGACAAGAGCCTTTCGGATGATTTTGTTCAAAGAACCGTGACAGGAAAAGTTATTTAGTTCATTGTTATTGGTTGCGCGGAAAACCATTCGTATTTATTTAATTTGACGGTAGGCTGCCAAATCGGTTATCTCATTCCAAAACGATATCATTCATACCCTCCTATCGACACATCGGGGTGGTGGGGTGGGAGGGGAAAGAAGATGATTCTAGAATGTCACGTAATCATCGGAACCGAGGATATATAAGGCACGCGCGACCGACGCGCAGCCTCTTCCCGCCGCGCTCGTCATTAGAACCACATCACTAGTAGAAACCGCTTTAGCCTGGAAGCAATCGAGCTCCAGGGAACCCGCCTCACCTCGTGTGAGATATAGTCGCGCACCGCCTCTCTCCGGAGTGTTCCAGAAGAAGTTCCAGAAGTCGCAGTTATAGTGCTCGACCGCATAGAAGAAACATCCCGGTGAGTCAATATCCAATATTATAGCCTGCTTGATATAATTGTTTTAACCCGCCCCAATTTTGTGTTTTCCTAATCAAGCAGGATTCCTTTCATCGATTTGGCAAATAATAGTTCGTTTTTTAGGGAAGAGCGAGTGCATTGTACCGCATGCTATAGTCGTCGTTATATAAGCGTAGAAGCATTTGTAGATACAGTCCACTTAGATTAATAGCTCGCGTAATAGGTTTAAGCTTCGACCGGGGAACTAGACTTCGGCAACCTTAGACACGTGGCTCCACCATTTTATGGTCACTTCGGCAGGATTTGGACTGGTGTTTAGTGGTCCTCCAACCATTTTCTGGTCGAATTATTAAATTAATTATTTAGATAATGCACTCTAATCTATGGAATAGACTTAAATAGTGTTCGTTTAAATTTAAATTTTGATTAGGTACTCGCAAACAGAATTATTTATTTTATAGCGCACGTATTCGGTTAAATTTAAAGCTTATTAAATAATTGAAACAGTGTAATAGCAACCGTTTGGTACGCTTACCCGACAATTTGATAAAAATATTGAGTTACCGCAACGAGCAACGCGTCATCTCGACTCGCTGTAGCAGGTGTTTAATTACGTAATACGGCATACCGAGTGTCCATCGTCCATCGTTGTAAGATTAATTGTGATTAATATAACTTTGTTATAATAATTTAAAATGGCAGTTAGTGGAAGTGAATTTAAAATTAAAACGCTTTATGCCAAGAGGGACGTACTTTTTTCACGTATACAAAGCATTAGCGATCATATAAAGAACATTAATGTAGAAGCGGTGCGGGAAACTTTTCTGAATGAAATTGAAACGGTGGATTCTTTGCGGACGGATTACGAAAGAATATTAGACCAAATTAATCATTTGGAATTACAAATCGACCCGAAATACATAGTGAACTACCAACCGCTGCTGGCATTCGAAGATATGTTGTGTCGCGTGAAAAGAACGGCAAAACTCCTACAATCTCAAAACGAAGCAAAGCCGGAAATACAGGTACGTCCACGTGACTCAATTAGGTTGCCGCCAATAGATATTCCGGTATTCAATGGTGATATTAAGACGTGGCCCCTCTTCTTCAGTAGTTTTCAAAACAATATACACAATAACCCATCGTTATCGGACGCTGAAAAATTATATTATTTAATTAGTAAACTTAGTGGCAGGGCACAGTCGATCTGCTCTGGTTTTACACCTACAGCAAACAATTACTTATTAATATTGGAAACGCTTAAAACTAAATATGAAGATAGGAGAATGTTAGCTTCCGAATATTTGAACCAGATATTCGATCTTAAACCTATATCATCCGCGAACATCAACGGCTTAGAGCAGTTTCTAGATAAATTTGTGGCATCGGTGGCTGCACTTAAGAATTTAAAATTTAATGACCTTATGGACGTGGTGTTTCTCCATATTGCACTAAAGAAATTAGACCCCGACACCGTGTGTGCGTTTGAAATGGAGCATCGTAGCTCGGAGATGCCTTCCTTTCATTCATTAGCATCGTTCGTGCGAGATCAAATAAAGGTGATGCAGCGCTCTCCGAACGTTAAACAGGAGATTAAAAGGTGCGTCGACCGTAGACAGACTCAAGCATCTAAAATAGCAGGGTCGTTAACGTACGTAACCGCTACGTGAACATCACTTCAGCATACTTGTATCGTATGTAAAGATAAACACGGTAATTTATATAATTGTGCGACTTTTCGTAAATATTCACCAAGCGAACGTTATAAATTAGTAAAGATAAACAACCTATGTCTGACCTGTTAAGTGATAAGCATTTAGTTGCAAAATGCAATTCGAGTTCCGTATGAGCAAGTGCGCCAGGAAACATCACACGCTATTATACATTTTGAAAATAGCAACATAGCGGCGTCAAGTAAAGCGGATAAGGAATTCACCCCTACTAAAGTCAACGATTCTAGCGGTCGACCTGGTGATGTCGCTCTGTGCTCACTGGCAAATATGGGAGCACAACCTCCTTCAACCGTGTTACTGGGTACGGCGCGTATTTTGGTTAAGGATTCGCGTGGAAACGAACAAAGCGTCCGTGCACTGCTGGACAGCGGAGCCCAAAATAGCTTTATAACGCGACAATGTTGTCAGCGCTTAGGCTTAGTAATAAATAGGTCACTTTCATGTCCTGCAGTCAAAGGCATCGGAGGTACTAGTAAAGCTACCCAGGGATATATAAATTTAAAATTTATTCTCGAATAGATCGTAATGTTAACATACATAAACACTCACGCCTGTCACCCAGAGGGGTAAGCAGAGACTACAGACTTCCATTTGGCACGATCCTGACACACCTCTCTCGCCTCCTTCACATCCATACACCTCCGCATACATGCTCGTCGGTTAAGGGTACTCCTAATTTGGCCCGTTTTCAATAAATCGCCAATTTGGTCGATAAATTTTCGCCTAGGACGTCCCTTTCCGACTCTGCCATTCACTTCTGCACCATAAATTTTCTTTGTCACTCTTTCCTCATTCATTCTTTCCACATGACCAAACCACCGAAGCATTCCTTTCTTAATCCTGGTCACAACGTCATCTTGCAAACCACACTCTTCTCTTATTACACAATTTCTTACCCTGTCATTAAGATTCAGCCCTAACATACTCTTTAACGACCGCATTTCTACTGCGTTCATTCTACTCTCGTGCTTCTTCTGCCACACCCAACTTTCACTACCATACGTTAAAGTAGGGACCAACACAGCATTGTGAATTGCCATACGTGCCTTTTTCGACACATTTTGCCTTCACAATATAGGCCCCATTTACTTATTTCCCCTCATATCTCCCATCCCTGCTAAATACGCAGCCCAAATATACAAACTCATCTACTTGCTCGATCAACTACCCTTCTAGTCTTATTTCACAAATAGTTTTACTTTCTTCTCTTTCAAAAACCGTAACCTTCGTCTTACTTGCGTTCACTTTCATACCCCTTTCTTTTAATGATCTGTTCATTAATGTAACCATCATTTGCAACTCGGCCGCCGACGACGTAAGGATAACTTGATCATCGGCGTACAAAAGGCATTTGACGGTTAACTCACCCATTCTTAATCCGCATTCTTCAAATTTCAAATTTTGCAAACAACTGTCCATAAATAGGTTGAACAGCCACGGGGAAGCCACACAGCCCTGTCTGACACCTTTATGGATGTCAAACCAGTCCGAGTAGACCCCGTTGATCCTAACACAAGCACTAGAGTCCCTATAAAGGGACTCCAATGCCTGTATCAAGCCAGCGCTCAACCCAAATGAGTTCAGTGTTTGCCATAGCACATCCCTATTCACTCTGTCATAGGCCTTTTCCAAGTCCATGAACGCACAAAAAACCTTTTAGTTTTTGGCCAAAAACTTCTCCGCGATCATGCGCATGGAAAAGACTTGATCTGTACATCCCATTCCCTTTCTAAATCCCGCTTGCACATCCCCAATTTTGCCATCAGTTTCTTTCATGACCCTTTCAATCAGTACCTTAGCATACAGTTTTCCCACAATGCTAAGAAGGCTGATGCCACGGTAGTTTTTACAGTGCTGCTGCGACCCTTTTCCCTTATATACTGGGACTATCACGGCTTTGCACCAGTCTACCGGTACCCGCTTCAGTTCCCAGCATAAATTAAATAAGGTGTGCAGCAGGCCTGCCACCACTTCCTCTCCAGCCCTTAGCATTTCGAGTGAAACTCTATCATATCCGGCAGCCTTACCTGCTTTCATGCTTTTCATTGCTTTCATTATTTCATCTATACTTATCTCGCTACCTCTTTCCTCTTCTTTCGGAATTTCTACTTCACTTAGTACACACGTTGTCTCCTCACTCATAAACAC